CATTGGGTTTCCCTAGTAAAAGGGATGGCACAGGTGAGGAGGGGTGGAAGTGGGGAAGGTGGAGATGAAGGTCATTAACAGAAATGTAACCCCTAATTCATAGCACTCTGGTGGTCTTGGTCCCTGATACATGGGTTACATGCTGTATAGTAAATAAATTCTGAATTATAAAAAGGTGATGCATATTCGGAAACTTGGCAACCTCATTTCCTTTATCAGTGTATTTGAAGTTACATCATGTTTAGATGTCCCTCAACACTCAGATTGGACTTAAGTCTCTTAATAAGGAAACATTAGGCGGGGGCTGACCGTCACTTTTAGTGCAGGAAATGCACACTAGTTATTCTATAAGTGCATCAAGAAGTTAATTCTAGAATATAAAACCTTTAAACAGCTCTAGCTTATGCCTGTGTTGGCAACATGTGATCTCAGTGAAAAGTGTAAAACAGCAGACTGCCAGATGTTTTGACTAAATGATACATCACATCTTAATGTTTCCTAGGTTGGCAGTAGTAATACTAGAGATTCAGGATTTTAAAATTAACAAGTTCTGTTCTAACCTTTTCTTAATCTTTACTTTAAAAATATCTTATACTCAAAACATTCATATGCTGGAATTTTTCTTTAAAACACATGTGTTTAGGAAGAATGCTTATAAACCATAAACAAAATCTAGGAAGAACATATTGTGTTTCTTACAGTAAATATATTATATAAGCTATTGGCCAGTATGACTGGGGAATGATATTTTCAGGTTAATCAAATATTCTGCAATATTATACCATGAGTGTTAAATTTTTAAGTGTTAGGAGCTCAGTATTGCTCTCATATCAAGCGTGATTTGCTTGTAAATATATCAGAAGGCACTTCAAAATCTTGCAGGAGCTTGTGTCATAATTTTGAGCACCAGCTCCACTGTACATGAATTTCCTTCAGGAGAGTTCTAGTTAGTACCATTTCAGACAATAAATTCATTCAGTAAATGAGTATTAATGTGATTATCATTCATAGGAAGACTTTGAGGAGAAAGGGCAGGTGCCATTTGAGATGGGGGGAGAGGGGAAGGCAGCAGCTACACCTGACCAAAACAACCAACCCCAGCCTCTCAGGAGCATTACCACATTCTCCTTAAAACATCTCCTCTACCAAACTAATCTTCAAAGAGTCTCCTCTGAAAATGCAGATACCCCTGCAGGATGTGTGTATGTGTATATGTGGTGTACTGGTATTAATTATATCTTTGTTAGCAAAAGGTTGAAAAAAGGAAATGACAGGATAGAAAATAGTGCCATCAAGGAGGAGAAAATGGATCTTTCAGAGAAGTGAAAATACACATGACAAATATTACTTTTTTTACAGTTTTGCTTTAGGGTCTCAATTATGACAAACTACTGTTACAGATGTTGAAACAACATTTTATAATCTTATCTTGGATTGGCTTCTTATACTTGTTGTTTCCAGTGAACCTAAATGAATCCCCAGTGGCCAGATCTAATGTATTAACATAATTCACATTACTCAACTGTTCCCCTTCATGAAGATTTTTTTTAAAAGCTAAGTAAAGTCATAAATAAAGACAAACACAAAACAATTTTAGGGAAAGACAAATAAAATGGCTACTTTTAGAGCTGTTAATAATCTTATAATTTTTGTCACTTAAATTTTCTTTAGTTAATGTCTTGTGAAGCCAGAGGGTATGGAATGTTTCCTCAGCCAGTTTAAGTAAATCAAAAAAGTCTGGTTTTGAATGCCCATAATGAAGATCAGTTACAATGACGCATAAATTTTTGGTTTGATTGCCTCCTGAAATAATTTTCTTTTATAACAAAAAACATTATTGAGGATGCTTCATTAAAAATAAAAAACAAATCTTAGTTCAAAACTGAAATTACACTGCTCTATATTTATACTGTCCCAGAAAAAAAAGTTCGGCTAAGGAAATATTCAGAGACACGTAATTATTTTGTTCTAATTGGCATTGTTAATTCACATGTACAAACAAGCATTGCAGTACAGAGCATATGGAGGTATTAAAGGGATTAGACTGTAAGTTATCTGATGGGAATAAAGAGTTTGGTCTGAACTGAATCTAAAATATATTTAATCTCCATTGGCCCCCTTGGTCAAAAGGAAAAAAAAAAGTAAATCTAAAAGTCACTAAAGAAACAACATTTGATTCAGTTGCTTGGGTGATAAATTCCCCTTGGAAATAAGTGGCAAGGCAATTGAAAAACAGCACAACTCTAGGGCCCTGCTCCTAAGAAATATACCTGTGGCATTTACTATGAAACCAAGAAATATATGTTCTATCTATCTGTAATGGATGTCAACTTTTCAAATGAACTAGCAGAGTGTGTTTTTGAAAGTCTGTGGCTTCTACAATGAATTCAGGTTCTATGGTAAATTGGATGAATTAGCTAGATGTAAAAGACTTAATAGACTTTATTTACAAAATCATTAAGTTGTAAAAACAAAGGCCCTACAGGAGTTTTAAATTTGACTATTTTTTAAGGCTTCTTGTGAACACCTCCCCCACTCCAGACTGCCTATTTACAAAACATTTTATTTTAGAATCTCTTGGATACAAAAAATAGAATTAGAAGGCATAGCAAATGACTGCAAATATTTTGTTTCATTTTCATTTTAAGGTATCAGCCAAGTAACACCAGTGTATCAAATGAACTCCAAAGTTGGCAGAAGTGTTAGTAAATCTGCTCATTCCTGGTCCATTTTACCAAATATGTATTCAGATTTTTAATAAATATTTTGGAATGTTTGGGCTATTTACCTTCTCCTTTGTGATTAAAGACAGGTACACACAGGAGGATGATGTGATCTCTTATAAGGAAGGATTCTTTATTTAACCTAAACATATCAACACAACAGAGATTTTATCTATAGGCTAAATTCTATTCTTTGGGAAAGAGCTTGGGCTTTTCAAATGTAAGCAAATAACTATATTATAAATCAGGTTGTAATAGGCATTATTTCTGAGGCAGGGGAAGTCCCACTGAGATGATCACATCATTTAATAGCTACTAAACTATTAAAGCCTTAGAAGTTTTATGTTTAACATTAATGGTCAATAGTAAATAGGAAAAAAAAAGTATTGTGCTCTGAAATTTTGGCAAGCATATTGATTACAGTCTTTATTTAGTAACGTTTTCAAGTTAAGCTTGGCAGCAAAGATTTGTGAGTTTTACTGCAAACCATCATATTTGCTGTTACAGCAGTGCACAAACAAAAAACATTAAGTTGGGAGCATATCCAGAATCTCACATTTTGTCTATTCTTTCAAAGTAAAATGAAACCCTCAGACATTGTTCTAGATGATCGATTCAAGTTTCAATAACATCCTCCCTTGAAATATTCAGAAAATTGGGTTAAATTGTTTTGGGGGGCCTGAATTTACCAGACTGTTGTTTTAATTCTTCATTCACAAAAAGATGTTTAAATAAAAATAACGTGGAAAGTTTTTGTAAATTGCCCAAGTAATCAATTATGAATTTTGTGTGAAAGTGCAATTTTCTGAAGATTGATCTATTCAGCAAAACCTTCCTATTTTACTCCTGTGAAGAAACTGTTTAGGGATCATAAATAGATAATACATAAAATTGTAAGTATCATTCTTAGGTGCAGATGGAAACATAAAACTCCAGGAATAATCCTTTAATTTTTTCATCGGTCATTGTTGGAATGTTTCTTTGTTGCTAAACTTTCCAACTAATGTAGTTTTAATAAGAAACATGCAGATCACATCTATTATGTATATTTAGAAATATACTTCAGTGACTAATTATTATCCATCAACTGTGATAGAATTCCATCAACAATTTTCAAAACAGGATGATGTCAGTAATATGGGAAATGTTTTTGGAATTCTGATAGTACTGATTCAGAAATCTTACAAAACTTATGAAATTGATTAATACCATCTTATATAAAAGTAAATTACAGTCTAAAAGAATTTGCTCACAGTCTTAGAAACTATTTGGTAATATTAAGTCATGAATGCAATAACATATTTATCAATTTTCAATTGCTCCAATGACAAAAAAGCAACATCATCAATATTCACACATGTTACACACTAGTGTGAAGACACCACATATGATGACTGTATTTGACCATCTTTGGAATGGAAAGGAAGCCCAAACATCAAACCTGATGACTACAGCATTTTTAATAAGGAACAGGAAAAAAAAAAGCTCAGTTCATACTTTAAGAAGCTGAGTTAATATTTTGGTTTTTCCCCCAACGTGTACACCTGCCTTTTCAAGGAAGAACCAACCATGTGAGTAAGAACTGGAGTCAAGGTTAAAATAATTTTTCCCAAGAGAGTAGAGTGCATCTGAGAGAAGCAGAGGCTTAGCTCAGAGGAGCATTAATAACCAGAGGCAGCACCTCCCCTGAAAAACATTAGAGCCTCTTGGACATATGTTTGAAATTCATCCCCCCAAGTCATCCTATGACTGTAGGGATAGGTGACAATGTCCCACTATCTGATGGGGGAAAATACAGCACAGACCATTTAAAAAATTATCACTTTAAAAAATAATACAAAAGTGGCAAAGTGTTCTAACTGTCAAGAAACCTTTGCAGGTGATAAAAAAAAACAAACCCTTTGTCTTTCCAATTATTGTTTGCCCTTCAGCTGACATACATGCATCAATAGGATTACAACGGAAACACAGTCATCTCCAGGTTTCCTCTGGATTCCTTGATCTTGTTTAAAGAAACAGGCTCAGGGAATGCACAGAAAACCAACTTCCCCAATCGAAGTTCTGAGGTCTCCACCCTCCCGCCCCCCGCTCCTTCTCCCACCCTCAGAAACCTGTCTAGTTTTACCCATAGCACCGGACAGAAATGTCATGGTCATGTTGCACCACTTCACTTGTTGAATTGTGTGAAGGCAGCGCTTGACCACAATAACTTAGTGAACCACCTTGCTTTTAAATTAGCCCCCAAGATTTCTTTCCTGTTCGATGGTAATGTCTTACCTGCATGTGTCCCTGGTACATTCTGCTTGGGCTTCTTCAAGGCTCCCTGAGGCCGCCGGATGCTTTCCCCCGTGCTTACTTGCACACCCAACAGAGGGGAGAAGGCGGCGTGCACACTGTGTTTTAGACGGTGCCCCTGAGCCCGGTGGAAGGCTCCAGGCAGCCCGGCCACGGTGGCCCCCTGGCCGCTCTGCGGGCTGCCGGGAACTGTTCTCCGCTCGGGGTGCTGAAAGCGGACACAGGAGAGAGAGCGGAGGAGACGAGGAACCCAGGCGGCCACGCTCACCCGCAGGCGCAGGTCCTGCTTCACCGGGCGTCTCTAAAACTCACTCCTCCACCGAACTCTTTCTCGCTTCCTGCCGGGCTGCCTCATGTCTCTCTCACTATCTTCGTCGCGAACCCCCTCCTCCTCCCAACCCTGACGTGAGCGCCCACACCAGCCGCCGCCGCAGCTGCCGAGTGGGGCGCGCGCCGCCCTCCCGGCCGCGTCCCTGCCGAGAGGCCGAGGGGCCGGGCACGCGCGCGCGTCCCCGGCGGGCCCGGGAGCGGCCCGAAGGCGGTGCGCGCACGCGGCGGCAAAGTGCCCGCGAGTGGTGGTCGCGCAAGGCGTTCAGGTGCGGCAGCGGCAACCACAGAGATTCCAGCAGAGTCGTTGGTCAGATGCAAGAAAAGTGGGAGGAAAATGCATTGTCTCTCCAGGGGCCATCAATACCGACTGAGCCTGTCATCCTACAAACATTATAGGCTGAGCGTGGGGGTTTCTGAAGAGTTTACTTCTGTTCTGATTCAGCTCTCACAAGTTGCCTCCATGTCACTCCGTGAATAAAGACTCCCCACTCACTCCATCCTCAATTCATTGCTGAGCACCCTATTTAAAATCCCAAACCCCAGTCCCTAAGGCCTTCCATGATTTTCCTCCCTAGCACTTAACATCATCTAACATCACATGTTTTACATATTTTATTTATTGTCTGTCTCTGTATATGCAATGTTATTTCCATGAAATCAGGGATATTTGGGGAGAGGAGTGTATCTGTTTTTGCACGGATGTATCAGCATAATATAGTACCTCCTGCCACATGGTTGGTACTCTAAAAATATCTGTTGAATGAATTGGTCTTTATAATATATAGGTAGAGTGCATTTAGATATGTTTCAAAGAGACTGGACAGTTTGATAGTCTTTATATTATAAATGTATATACATGCACATACACACACCATGTGCTGGCATATAGGTGTATACTGTGATTACCCAGCTTTGTTGGTAATAAGATCTCCAATTACACAATAACGTGCCCTCCAAGTTATATACAGCATGATATAATCCCCCCAACAGTACATATAGCATGATATACCTTTCAAAAAGTTAATTTGTCAGCTCCCTAGGAAGATAAATATATATCGTATATAACTATATGAAAAGGAAAGCAGTAGAACAATGAATATAGTATTCAGAATGTTGGTAATTCTTGGTGAAGAGAGGCAGGAGGAAGGGATGGGGAGGCATTTTATATGAAGGTTAATTGTCAATGTCTTAGCTATTAGCTTGGGTGGTGACTCGAGGATATGTATTACCTTATAAGAATTGCTATATAACTAAATAAAACAGAACTATGCATGGACTAGTGAGGAAAGGGTGAAATGAATCAAAGCAATGATTAGTCTAATTGAATACATCTGTGGTCCTATAACAACTGACTGAACAGCCAACCAACCAATCAACCACAAAATGAATAAGACTTGTAAAGGCAGGAGATGTGGATTCCTATTAGATTCCACCAATAGTTAACCTTGGAAATTTTCCTTTGCCGTCTTTAGACTTCAGCTTTTCCATGTCCAAACCCTGTGTGCTAAACTCATTTTTTATCCTGAAAATTGAGATATGTTCATAGAAACTATAAACTGTAAAGTATCACCCATTTTTCTTTCATTGACCTTTATAGGACAGAGCACTGGAATAGGAGTCAGCAGGCAGAAGGGCTAATTGTGTTTTACTACCTCACTGCTCTTTTGAGCAAGTAAACTAATTCTCTATTTCCTCGTTTTTGAAGTAAGGCAAATATCTGGTCAGCCTGCTAAGGACTGAATGCATGCAAAGGGAATTATAAATTATAAACCACCATATATGAGTATGTAAATAGACTTTTTTTTCCAGTCCAGGAAAGATGGGCGATCATTTCTTGAGAGGTCAAGCTCTACAAATTTAAAAGAGGGGAAAATGAAGGCAGGGAAATTGGAGGGGGAGACGAACCATGAGAGACTATGGACTCTGAGAAACAAACTGAGGGTTCTAGAGGGGAGGAGGGTGGGGGATGGTCTAGCCTGGTGATGGGTATTAAAGAGGGCACATACTGCATGGAGCACTGGGTGTTATACACAAATGATGAATCATGGAATACTACATCAAAAACTAATGATGTAATGTATGGTGATTAACATAACATAATAAAATTAAAAAAAACAAGAAAACAAACAAACAAAAAAAATTTTGACAATAACCAGTGAAATTGAAATCATCCAAATTTCCCAAGCTGTTAATTCCACTTCTTGGTAGACACCACTGAGGTATCCTTGAATGTGTATGTAGAAAAGAACTCACAACAACATTGGTCCTAGTAGCAATATCTGGAACGAATCTATCACCTGGAGAGTAGATAATTCAATTATGTATTCAGACATCAAAAAAAAAAAGAAAAAAAAGAAAAGAGGGGAAATATTCATGTAAAATACTAGCATATTGGTATAAAAATCTTGGAGAAATTCTACTGTTTGATTTGAAAGTGCTAGAATTCTATAAAGTAGTGGGGGGGGCAAACTTTTCCAATACATTATAAGCTTATCATATAATGGCAGATTCAAGGAGCCATCAACCATAAAAGCATTTGGACCAGCATGGCAACTACCTAGAGTTGAAGATAAAACTCAATATATCATTTTTTAAAAACTGGAGTAACTCATTTAGTTGCTCCCTACATTCAGAAAATACCAGGAACGTTAAGTGCATCTGTGAAGATACCCTTGTCTTCATCCATATTTATTAAGAACTTAGTACGTGGGAGTGCTGTGCCAAGTGCTGAAATACATTGATAAATAAAACAAACATGGTCTCTACCTTCATTGAACCCATAGTTCAACTTCCGGACAGAGGTACATTTTAGCATCCCAGAGAGATAAATTTATCTAGATTTTTCACAAACAAACAAAAAAACCTCTACAGAGATTCTATAACTTCTCATTTCCTCTATCTAAAAATTTACATCTAACCTCTTCTAGTCCAACATTTCCCCTTCAGTTTTGAACTTTAATCCTTCCTATAGCACAAATACTTTCTTCAAAGCCTATAAATAAAAGCTTTGTGGCAAAAACACTTGGCTGACTATTAATTCAAATGTCAGTATCTTGAGATACTTTTGATTCACAGAACCATCTAGCAATTTATACATCTCATCTGGCTAGACCAAAAATTGCCATCCAGGTCTAGCATTAAAGCTCAAGTAATATGGTGTTTTGGTGTAAAAAGAAACTTTTCACGTGCAAATAGATATACCAATAGAAAATCCATAAGATAAAGCAGGTGTGAACTGTATTCTGGTGAACCCTAAGGATTTTATGATACACATAACAAAAAGCTGAATCGTAATATAATTATATTTGTGGACATCTTTTTTTAAAATTGCAAATAGGTTGTTTTTAAAAGATCTTGAAAGGAGAAAATGTGCATAACTTTCTCTATCCTCTGACTTCAGTAATGGTGAGAAAGCATTTCTTTGTGTAATTTCTGTTCTCCCCAGGGAATCATTAAGGTAAATTGGTATAAGGCAAACAAATCAGAGATGCAGCAGTTTGGAAAAGGTGTGGTTCTTTTGGAACAAAAGCAAGTGGCAACAGCTATGTGTCTGCTTCTCTGATACCAGAATTAAAATGGATATTAATGCCAAACATCTAAATGCTTTATTTGACCTTTCACAGTATTTTCTAGTTCTCATAGTAATAATTGGAATCATGGAAAAACAACTTTGAAGATGAATTGGTGATATATGTCAAACTCAAACAATTATATCTATGGTAGGAAGCAAAAGAAGATAGTCTCTGTATATACTGTGCAAGGAATGGTTACTTATGAATCTTTTCTAACCAGACCTGCAAACAGGTATACAATTCACTGGCAGTAATACCACCATCAGCAACAGTCTGACTTATAAGTGGCTGGGCTATGATTGCCAAGCTAAACTTATAATTCATAATGTTAAGGCATACATTGCATCTGAGGAAAAGAAAGATAATCCATATCTCATTCCTTTCACACTGTTGTTTTGCAACCTAAAATGCACATGATTTAATACCAGGTCCCAGCTCCTGAAAATATTTCTCATTTTAAATTTAAAGACCCTTCTTACTCAAAGTGGTCTACTGACCAGCAGCATCAGTCTCCTGGTTAGAAATGCTGACTCTCAGGCCCCATCCATGACCTATTGAATCAGAATCCACATTTTAACAAGATCCCCGAGTGCTTTGTATTCACCATCAAATTCACCAACTATGGCCTAGGTGGTTTATTTACTCATGTAAATATGTGGCAAAGCTGCTCTTGCCTTTTGCAATGATAGCACATGAGCAACATCTATACCAAGAGAAAAGCACAATGCATATTCCCTTCCATTTATAAGGTAATTTCATTGTATTCTGAGTGGCCAGAGGACTTGACATAAAATCAGAGCACACTCAGCTTTCTTACAGCAAGAAATGTGCTAATATTGCTTTTAGTTTTAATCATTATAATTAAATTAAAGAGTTGAGTGGTAGCAAAATATATTTTGTATTGCTCAAGTTAAATTTTATTAATAAATGAATCCTCCTGCATTTTAAATGGCTATTGAAAATTCAGGATTTATTAAATCTTTTAAAAAGCTGAGTAATAATGATGATGTCAGTATGCTTGTGGATTTAAAAAAATCATTAATAATAGTCTTTTGGTGGTGATTCAACCATTCTTTTATAATCTGTACAATTCAAACCCTACTGCTCAAACATGGTGTAGGAGAGAACAAAAGTCAAAAAAACTGTAGACCCAAATTAAAATGACTAATTGGTTTTTATTGTTCAATCAGAGGGAGGAACATTTTGTTAAAGTTTGCCCACTTGCTCTTTTTGTGTCTTTGACACATTGAATGGGATTAACTGGTGTTCAGGGCATTAGATCTGGAAAGAATTTTGGAAAAAATTTTGGAAACCCACACAGCAGACCCCAGGCTGTCAGGGGGGAATTATGATTGAAGAAAAGTACATGTGACTAGGAAATGGCAGCAATGTTCTTCCAAATGAATAAACAAGCTGGAGGCTTCAGAGTTGGGCCTCCTATTAAACCAATTTAAGAAATTACAATAAAATAATTTACATTTGTTTTTTTCTTTATGACAATGTTCTTTCAGCAAT